ATGCTTAGTCCTTTAGTATCTCACAAACTAAATATGACAATATAGATTTACAACACATAACACTTAACACTTAATCTCAATTACACATTCAAAAGGGAACAGCACAGATATTTGCTTAATATATGTGTATATATGCAGAAGCATATTCTTAACCATATAGGACAAAAATGCTTATGTCGACTACAGTCCACATCTCTGCAACTGGTCACACGGCCTGAGCTGATATTTATAACTGCCTTCCTCTACTACAGTCTATATTTCCTCCACCATTAGCAAGCACCTCTACAGGTCTTGGCTTTTTTCCTGGAGAAGTGACCCATACCTTCTTCCCTGAAGGATCTGGGCCATTTGTTGTCCTATCAAGATGCCCTAAGGAATCTCCTGCATTCCAGACAAATCTTCCTTATCTCCCTTGTGGAGAAAAAGCCCAGTTTCCCCCTGGCAGTCTGGGTCAATCACCCCTCCTAATACTGTTATTCCTTTCTTAGCCTGCTGACTTGAGGGCATCAGAAGTCCAGAGTGGCCAGGGGGAAGTCTTGGCTTCTAGTTCAACAGAATGTTTGTCGTGTCTCTTGGCAGAACCCCCCGCCCCGCCCCGAACCAAAACTTCTAGGTTAGCGGAGTACAAAGTCTCAGGTACAGGAAGCAAAACTTTTCCTTGCTGGTTGCTAGGGGTGATAGTGAGTGGACTCATTTCCATTTCCACCCCTTGATTACTGGACCTATGAATCCTGACTATAGGAGAAATAGTACCACATATTGGACATTGATTCAAAGCATACATTGCCTTTTGGAGGACCCTGCCCCAGCCCTCCAGGCTACTGCCACCCAATTGGTGTTGTAACTGTGTTTTTAAGAGGCCATTCCATTGCCCTGTCAAGCAGCTGCTTCAGGACGGTGGGGATCATGGTAAGACCAGTGGATTCCATGACCACGGGCCCACTGTCAAACTTCTTTGTCTGTGAAGTGAATTCCCTTGTCAGAAGTGATGATGGTGGATAAGGCATTCTGTAAGTCCCTGGATGGTAGTTTTGGCAGAAGCATTTCTTGCAGGAAAGACAAATCCATAACCAGAGTAAGTGTCTGTTCCTGTAAGGACAAAGCACTGTCCCCTCCATGGTGGAAATGGTCCAATGTAGTCAATGTGCCACCAGGTTGCAGGTTGGTCACCATGGCGAACAGTGCCATATCGGGGGCTCAGTGTTGGTCTCTGTTGTTGGCAGATCTGGTACTCAGCAGCAGCTGTAGCCAGGTCAGCTTTCGTGAGTGGGAGTCCATGCTGTCGAGCCCATGCATAACCTCCATCTCTGCCACCATGGCCACTTTGTCCATGGGCCCATTGAGCAATGACAGGGATAGCTGAAGAAAGAGGCTGACAGTCCACAGTGCGGGTCATCCAATCTACTTGGTTATTGAATTCATCTTCTGCTGAAGCCACTTTTTGATAAGCATTTATGAGACACAAGTATGTTCACATCCTTTGCCCATTTGGAGAGATCTATCCACATACTTCTTCCCCAAATGTCTTTCTCACCAATTTTCCAATCATGCTCCTTCCAAGTCCCTGACCATCCAGCCAAACCATTGGCTTACAGCCCATGAATCAGTATATAATTGCACTTCTGACCATTTCTCCTTCCAAGCAAAATGCACTACCATGTGCACTGCCTGAAGTTCTGCCCACTGTGAAGACTTTCTTACCCAGTGTCCTTCAGGGTTGTTCCAGAAATTGGCTGTAATGCTGCAGCCCTCCACTTCTGAGTGGTGCCGGCATAGCGTGCAGAACCATCTGTAAACCAAGCCCTAGTCTTCTCTTACTCAGTCAACCGATCATAGGGCACACCCCATGAAGCCGCAGGTACAGGGTTGAGAACAGGAGGCATTGTAACGGGAGTAGGAACCATAGACATTTGGGCAACTTCTTCACGTAACTTGCTTGTGCCCTCTGGGCCTGCTCGAGTCCAATCACGTATATACCACTTCCATCTCATAATGGATTGTTGCTGTGCATGTCCTACTTTATGGCTTGGTGGGTCAGGTAACACCCAACTCATGAAATGGGCAGCTCAGGTTGCATGATGATGTGATGGCCCATTGTCAAGCATTTGGTTTCCACCACGGCCCAAAACCAGGCTAAGAGCTGTCTGTAGATGTCTGTAGATGAAGGTAGAACCTTCCTCCAAAATTCCAGTGCCTCCACTGTGATTTCCCTTTGGGGGCCTCCCAGAGACTCCAAACAGCATTTCTGTTTGCTGCTGATACCTCAAGCACCATCAGGTCCTCTGGATCATATGGCACAAGGGGCAGAGCAGTCTTTACATCAGCCTGGACCAGTTGAAGAGCCTTTTCCTGTTCCAGGCCCCACTTGAAGCTAGCTGCCTTCTGAGTCACTTGATATACACGTTGTAGTAACACACCTGATGAGTAATGTGCTGCCTCCAGAATCCAAAGAGGCCCATTAAGCATTGTGCTTCTTTCTTGGTGGGGGGTGGGGCCAAGTGCCATAACTCATCTTTCACCTTAGAAGGAATGTCTCTGCATGTTCCACACGACTGAACTAGAAATTTCACTGAGGTAGAAGGCCCTTGAAGTATGCTATACCAACAAGCCCAGACTGGTTGCTACCTCCTGCTCACTGAATCCAGTCAGCATAACATCATCAATATAGCGGACCAGCATGATATTTTGTGGAAGAGTCAGGTGATCAAGTTGCCTTTGAACCAAGTTACAAGCACAAGGCTAGAAAGTTAATATACTTTGAGGTAGGACAGTAAAGGTATACTGTTGGCTTCGCCAGCTGAAAGAAAATTGCTTCTGGTGTTCCTTGTGAGCCAGTATTGAAAAGAAGGCATTTGCCACATCAATAGCTGCATACCAGGTACTAGGAGATGGATTAATCTGCTTGAGTAAGGAAACCACATCTGGTACAGCAGCTGCAAACTGGAGTCAGCACTTTATTGAGTTTTGATAGTCAGCTGTCATTCTCCATGACCCAACTTTCTTCTTCACAGGCCAAATAGGAGAGTTAAAGGGAGATGTAGGAATCACCACCCCTGCACCTTTCAAATCCTTGATGGTGGCACTAATTTCTACAATACTGTTTTGGGTTCACTCTTTTCCCTGAAAGAGGCAACTCCAGTGGTTTCCATTTGGCCTTGCCAACCAAAATAGCCCTCACTCCAGGGAACCAATGTGGGGATTCTGCCAATTTCTAAGTATATCTATCCCAATTATACATTTCCATATGGAAATAACCATAGAATGACATTGGGGGCCCACTGCACAGACCTGCTGTGAGTCGGACTTCAGCCATTTATCACCTGACCTCCGTAAGCCCCTACTGGAGGGCCACAATGCTTTTTAGGGTATCCTGGAATCAGTGTCGACTCAGAACCAGTGTGCAATGGGCCTTGGAAAGTCTCATGATCTCCATCTCCCCAGTGTATGGTTTCTCTAGTAAAAGGCCACAGGTCCCTCCGGGGAAGGATGGGAGAAAGGAGAACAACCTAACTCTTTGGTAGTGTGACAAGGTCCTTCCTCAAGGGCACTGGCCTTCCCTTCATTCAAGGGGTTCTGGATCTGTAAACTGTCTCAAGTCTGGAAATTGGTTGATTCAACGGGATTCTCTATTGCTATGATCCAATGTCAATTTTCTGTCATTTGTTGTAGAGCTTTTCTGCTTATACAGATCAAATAAAAACTTAGTAGGCTTCTTAAGTATTTGGTCCCTGGAAACACCACAATTGATTAGCCAGTCCCAAAGGTCCATTCAGGTTGTGCCATTATAGGTATTGTTTTGCCTTTGCTGCCCATTGCCATAAGGACGCTCATCATGTCTTTGGCAATTCAGTACTGCCACCTGACCCCTACTCTGTGGTCCTGTTATACCTATTATATTTAAATTTAATTGATGCAACTGACTAGTGGATTCTCCAACTCTAAGATCTGGCATAAGAAAAAGAGCAAAAACAAAGCTCTTTAAATGTGCTGATGCCTCTCTCAGTACTTTTCATCTTGTAAAATCTGGGCCTGGGCCCTCCCATTGTGGAGGATTCCGTTTTACACAGCGAATCCACTCGAGCATGCCAATTTGCCTGAGCCTTACAATCCCTTCATCGACACTGAGCCAAAGAATATCAGATATTTCCAGCTCAGTGGGCCATCTTTTGATAAACACCTCAGCCAACCAATCAAATAAACTTTTAACATCTTTTTTAACTGTGTGAGCTTCCATAATAAACCTAGAGGCTCCAGTCAGTGGGCCCATGTTCCTTCCATCATGACCCCACAGCCTTACAATGCATTCCCACACATATTCCTCAGGCTTCTGTTTGAATGAATTAGCAGACTCACTAAGCTCTTTCAGGGGTGTAGCGCACCTCCTCATGGACCACACTTTCTAGCTCACTTCTAGGGGCCTGCTTAGCCTGGAGTCTGGTTATAGGTCTAGAGGCAACAGTTGCTGGCCACTGAGGGACATCAGCTTTGTCTTGCAGCATGGGGTTAGTTCCCTGGGGAAGCATGGGGAGGGTGTGTCTGCAGGGTGTGGGAACACTCTGTGCTGATGGTGGGGAGATTAATTCATCAGGTCAAGTAAATTCCTCAGTCTGAGTCAAAGTCTGAGCCTCATCAGGGCTCACCCAAACATCTCCATCTCAAGTTACAGGGCCTTTGGGGACCATTTACCTCATATCTAAATAGACAGCTGTCTACTGTTTCGTTTACAAGGCCCTCTCCTGGTTCTACGTCTGTGACTCTCTCCCCTCTTGTATTACATGTGATGGAAATGAATAGAGTGTAGCAAAATGTAACAAACTTCATACTGAGTGGCAATCATGAGTGCTGCTTTCGATTTAGCTCTTTTTCTTCTCTTACAACCTCATTGGGTGAGCTATTGAGTGAGATAATAAAGGGAGAAAGAGGTAAGAGAGACATGCGGCATATTAGGACCTGGCAGAAGAAAGCTACGTTTTAACCAAGTATATTTCTTATTTTGATAGGCTCCAAAAAAGCTCCGTTTTCCTGCTATGAAGAAATACAAAGTCAAACAGATAGATTTGGTAACTGTGGTAAGGATTCACATAACAGATTCATATTCTGTGGATGGAGGTACGCTGCACATAATGAGCTTTCTATATTATGTGTTCTTTATTTTAACATATGCCATTCATTCCAATTGTTTAAAGTATCACATTTGCATGGTAGCAAATCTGAAGCCTTAGACCCCTTGTATTCTTGTACTACAAGGATAACATTTAAAAAATTTATATGCAGGTGATCATCAAGCTCCTAAACCCAATCTAGAATTGACGCTCATAACACTCACTGCACCTTTCCTCTCCAAGCTTCCTGAAATTTGCTTCTAAAATCACTATACCCAAGCTGGGCATGGTGATGCCCATTTAATCCCAGCACTCAGGGGGCAGAGGCAGGTGAATCTCTAAAATACAGGCCAGCACGGTCTACATAGGGAGACACTGCATCAAAAACAAACCACTGACATCTCCACCAACCCTATCACCATCCCCTTGATGGCCGCCCAAATGGACACTGATCTGTGTTTATACAGAAATTAAGTTCAATTTCTCTTGTATCTTAAGACAGAGTTCTTTGATATTTTGGTCATGAGTTTATTTTAACAAAATATTAAGGTCCTAACATGTGATAGACACTGGGCCAAAAAATAGTTGGCAAAACACGCACATACCTATTATGTTCATGACATTTGTTGATATTTAACATATCAGTTTTATGTTTCTTTGATTTCCTTATGCTGCTAGCTTTTGTTTGAAAATACACTACTTTGTGAAAAACTTATAATTTGTACATTTTGACTCACAGTATTCTCTATGAAGCTAAGTTAGAATGCCACCTTATCTTAAATTTCTGTAAGGATTTATACCATTTATAGCATTTTAGTGAGATCTGTATCATATTTAATATCAGACAGCAGGGTCCTGGAGGGCACAGTAGCAACTTTCTTTGTCATTCTATGCCAGAATGTGGGAGTGCACAGATTATTTAACAGTAAACATCTAATCCACATAGTAAGCAAAAGACCATTAGTAGCTATGAATAATGTATATCAATGGGTTCATACTTTGTACCTTAAATGCTAATATCACACTGGTGTCAAGTAATGTCAGCATTGCCCTAAGTATCCTGCTGTAAATGCAGGATCACATTTTATTCAAAGAAAGCAAACCCAAAGCATTGGGAATAAAGGCCAACTGTGCAATCATCTTGTCATTATGCTTTCAGGAATCTCATATGTGGGAAATTAATTTGTACTTACCCTCGACGAACTCCTTACATCTCAAAGTTCAAGTCCTCTTCTGTGATTTATGCTTTTGTACGAAATAAAACATGTGTATCTGTGGATGTAGGATCTATTACAGATGATCCATTCATGGTTAAAAGTGGCCCTATATGTGATATAGACAGGGTAAGTGATTTAGAATAAATTTCCTAAACATCTAGTTTTATTTATTTCTCCAATCAATATTTCCATTTAAGTATGAAATTTTGATTTTCTGATTCATTCTGTGTAATCCTAAATGTTTGGAGGGAAAATGAATATATTTAATTATAGTTTAGTTAAAATTGGGAATGCTTCACACCCTTCAGAGCTTCAACATCACGAACGGGGAAAGCTCAGGTGTTTGGAGGCTGGAGTAGGGAGGAAAGAGGCTTTGGGAATATTAGGTTAAGTACTCCATAACATGGAAACTCACTTTTCTTTTGAGAAAAAATCTACTTAATCTTTGTAGCTTGGTGCTTTAAAACACCCTTGAGAGCAGAATGCTTAGAATAAAATCTCTTATTATATGACATTTTACAAGTTAGCTGACCAGTTTGAGATGTTTCCAGGATATGTAATTTGGGGATAATAGACGTATTCACTCATCAGGGCTATTGTGACGACTAAATGAGGTAATATTATAAAAATGGATAGAGCAATGCCCAGCACATAGTATAGGCTAAATACAATTTGGCTAAAATTGTTGACTATTGTCATTGTAATTTGCATCTATGACACCAAATCAAATCTGTAGAAAACACAGAGGGAATTAATTGACCTCAGAATCTCATTTACTTCTTGGCCATCTGTGATTATGCACAAACACGTTATATGGCATTTCATTAAAATTGCCTACTGCCCGAACCCGAACCATTTAAAATATTATTAAAATACCATGTTATATTTTAGAGGAGGTTTTGGTTCATAACACAGTTTTAATGGGGGCGTAGTCTTTTCATGGTGCTTTTCCCTGCATTCTGACTCCACAGCTCCCATCGCGTACATTTGCAGTACAATTGTGGGCCACTAGTCATTTGAAGGCCAAGTCTACTTTAGGAGTATCTGGGGTAATCCCTATATTATCAGTGATTAGCTACATTTCTAAGTATAATATTTTCTAAAGAAGAATTCTCAAGGGAAATTTAAAAACATTTTTAAAAAGTAAAAGCATAAAATTATCATTTGAGAAATGCCGCAAAAGTACTAGAGTAAAATTTATAGCTGTGACTAGTTACGGTTTTATGTTAGTTAATCGCTAGTTCCAGTGTTATGATGACCAGACCCATCTGAATTGGAAACTTGTTTGTATGTGTTTTCTTTAGATTTGTATAAACAGTGTATGTGTAGAATCAAGACACATTAAGGCTATATCTGCCGAATGTTCAAAAAAGTGCTCTGGACATGGAGTAAGTAACTGTGTTTCTTCAAACATCATTTAAAGCATCATTCATTAATCTGTCAGTTTTCCTTTCATCCCTCCAGTGTGCCAAACACCACGGACACATTGGTGCTGAATTGAATACCAAACTCAGTTGCTACAATCAGTGTTAGAGAACACTTTTGGTTAAATTGAACGTCCAGTTACTTTAAAAAAAGTTATAGCTAGGCATTTTTCAAAAGTTGTTATCTAAATAAACCTGTTGGTAAAAGGGAAATAATTCCTGTGTTTGGACTCTATGTGTGCATAAATTGTCAAGCTCGTCTCTCAGAATTGCATTTGCTATATTTGGAGCTCTAAGTTCCCTGCAAAATAGAGTGGAATGTACAGCATTTGTGTTGATGCCTCTTCTCCATTTATAGACAACCTCCACCAACTTCAGCGTCACACATCACAGGCTTCTATTTGTTGCCACTAGTTGTAGGAATTGACAGAGTATTGTCCAAAGTTTGATGGTTAACATCACTTAGTGGTACCATCCCCAGATGGCTTTGACAAATGTTTGTGACGGGTACCTACTGTTATTGTATCATCCGAAAACCTCTGTGCTCCGCTTTCTCACCCATCCTTTCCCTCTACTTCCTAGCAGCCGCTGAACGTTTTACCGTCTCCACGTTTTATTTCTGAATGTGTACTTCTGAAAAGAAGAGGTGTAAAGAGGCAAAAAAGTATGAATAAAATGCTCAAACCAGCAGTCATTAAGGAAATAGAAATCAAAACCACAGTAGGAGAGTCATCCCAGGCAGCACAGCTGTTATCGAAAAGGCAAAAACGCCAAGTGCTGTCAACAATGTTGAGAAAAGGGACTTGTGGGAGTCAGTCTTGTCAACTTGTTGAGATCTGGAATGTCCTAAGGAGATACAGCCGTGGTTGTGTCTGTGAGGGTGTTTCCAGAAAGTTTAACTGAGGAGGAAGAACTGTCTGAATGTGAGTGGCACCATGCTGTGGCCTGGGGTCTGGGACTCAGTATATCAGCATTCACCTGCTGCCGCTGTGAATACTCACCCTCTATGCCTGGCTAATTTCGTGTAAGACGATGATCTATTTTTGTGCAAATGACATAATTTTTTTCTTCCTTTTGACTGAATAAAACTCATGGGTATGCCTTCCTTTGTACATTCCTCTGCTGGTAGTCATGTACGATGGCTTATGATTTGGCTATTGCAAATAGTGCCACAATACATATGAGTATGCAGTTATCTCTCCTGCAAGCTGGCTTTGATTCTTTGGGGTATAAACCGAAAATGAGACAGCTGAAACAGAAGAAAGTTGCATTTTTAGTTTTAGAGAAGCTTCCAGATGGTTTTTCACACTAGCTGTGCTGATTTACGTTCTTACCAGTAGCGTGCATGGCTACTTTTCCATGCTGCGTCTGCGCCAACATTCGCTGTTGTTTGTTTTCTCTGTGCCTGTTGACTTCCCTTTTGACTAGATGAACATGCGATCTCAGTGTGGTTTTGATTGGTATTTCCACCTGGCAGTGGTTGAAGGGATTTTTTTCATGTACGCATTGGATGCTGCAAAATTCCCTGTTCAGTTCATTGGCCAACTTATTGTTTCTTTTGTTTCGGTGTTTGAGTCTGTGACTTTTTATATATTCTCCTAGATGTATAAGTTTTTCCTCATTTTGAGAAACCTTTTTTTTTTTTTTTTTTTTTTTTTTTTTTTTTTTGGTCTTTTTGAGACAGAGTCTCCCTGTAGCCCCAGATGTCCTGGAACTCACTATGTAGACCACGCGGGCCTTGAACTCACAGAGTTCCACCTGCCTCTGCCTCCTGAGTGCTGGGATAAAGGCGTGCACTAATCGATACACTTCTTGCTGATTTCCTGAACTACTGCAGTCTTTTCAGAAATCATTGCTTATGCCTTGATCCTGAAACATTTCCCTACTTGAGTAGTTTCAAAGTTTCAGATACGCCTTCAACCTCGATACTCATTAGTTATCTTCAGGCATTTGTATCCTCTTGGATCAATTTTGGCAAGTCAAATGTATCTAAAAAGTTACCGATTTCTTCTAGCTTTTACAAAATTTTTCCTAATGAGACCCTGGATTTCACTGGTGTCTTAAAAAAATGTTTTGTATGTTTTGCTTGCATGTATGTAGGTGCACATGTATGTGCAATACCGTGGGGGTCAGAAGAGGGCATCAGATCCCCTGGAACTTGATAGTTGTTAGTTGCCATATGTGAGCTGGGATCTGAATCTGGATTCTCTGTAAGAGCAGTCATTGCTCTCAAGCCCTGAGCCATCTCTCCAGCCCCATTCACTGGTGTCTTAATGTGTCTTTTCCACTTCTAATTTTATTAATTTGGGCCGTTTCATTTTTGCTATTTTGGATAAGGGTTTGTCCAAATTTTTATCTTTAAAAAAATTCACCTCAATGATTATTTCTACTTTTTACTTTTCCTATTTTATTACCTTTAGTCCTGGTTTTTAATATTTCTGTCCATTATTGTTGTTTTTCTGTGACCTTTACATAGATCATTAGTGTTACTTATTGATTCTCCTCTGTCTCTTTTTCTCTCCTATCTGTTTTCTCTCTCCTCTCTGTCTCTGTCACACACACACACACACACACACACACACAGCTATAAACTCCCCCCGCCCCTTTCAACTGCCTTTTCTGTATCCCATTTTCATCTGATTCTAGGAACTTTGCAATTTCCCTCCAGATTTCTTCTATAACTTGCTAATCATTCAAAAGTGTGTCATTATATGGAATGAGAAATACTGAGGAAAGGTTTAAGCAGGAACTGAGGTGGGAGGATGGGGGAGGTAGCATAGAGAACGATTAGCCAGAAGTAAAAGTTTATGAAAGGACCCATGAAAATCTACTATTTGCAAGCCTGTTGAAAGATAACAATTGAAACAAATGTTTGAACTGTGTTTCAGTTTCTTTCTGTTGCTGTGATAAACACAATGACCAAAAGCAACTTTGGGAGAAAAGGGTTTATTTGATTTACAAATCTTGATCTTAGTCTATCATCAAGGGACGCCAAGGCAGGAACTTAAGCAGGACAGGAACCTGGAGGCAGAAAGTGAAGCAGAACCCACTGAGAAACACTGCTTACGGGCTCAGCACTTTTGTTATACAGCCCAGGCTCACCTGCCCCATGATGACACTGACTATAGTGGGCTGGGCTCTCCTACATCAATGAACAACTAAGAAAATGGTCCCAGACCTGGCCAAAGGCCAGTGTGAAGGAGGGAATTCCTCGGTTGAGGCTCCCTCTTTCCAGGTGAATTTGAGGACCACTCCACAAGATACCTGGTGTCTGGTACTGTAATCCTGCTCTAGAGCTCGTCCTGGGGAGGTTACAGGCCCTATGAGGGAAGCTGCTGCTACATACTGGTGCTCACAGATCAGTGCCGCTGTCAGCTCTGTGCAGGGCAGCTTCTTTTCATAGTGGTTACTGCCGAGATTCATAACTGGTCAAATGCTGAGAATAAGAAACAATTGAATGCTCAGCCGTAAATGAGACAGCTGTATCACCCCCTTTCCCCTGCACTCAGGGAATCTTCTGGAAGAGGGGCAGAAAGTATCTCAGAGCAAGATGTCAGTGAGAAGTGCTGTGAAAAGCAGGGTGGGGTATTAAATTCTGCTAGTACCACTGCATCTGACCTACCTAGCCCTTTACATCCAGTAGTCCTTTGTTCAACGAAACCAGGAGAGTTGGAACTCAGTACGTGTATATGTTTAGTCTTGTTGAGCTGTTCCCTTTACAGCTTGTAGTGACCTTCTTTATCTTTCGTTACGGCCTCAGGGTCTACCTGGTCAGACCCACATATCTGACCAAGCTCACTCCTGAATTGTGCTCCCTGTCACATCATTTCCATCTTTTCCTTCCTGTCAATCTGTGCCTTTGCCCATGTAGTGGTTCTTTTAAAATTTTGTCCCAGGCAGGATTCATTTGTTTGCTTATTTACTCATTTATTAGTTTTGTTAAATGGAATCCACCAGTCTGAATCATTGATATTACAGGATAGATGCTGGCTGGCCGTGGAGCTAGGGTCTCACCATGTGATCCACAAGGAACCTGTACTTCTGCTGACTCAGTCTTCAGAGTGGCGGGATTGTCAGCTTGTGCCATCAACCTGGCTCCCGAAGTTCTTTCTTGGGGCTTTCAGTAATGTTTTGTTTGTTTGCTTGTGTTGTGCTCTGGGCGTTGTAACTCTAATGCGATGCTGGGGAGGTTTTCTCTGTTCACATCTACTTGCAGCTCTAAATGCCTCTTGGACTGTGTGCCCATCTCTTCCTAAGGATATGGGGGCTCTCCTGCTAGAGTTCAATTGAACAGGTTTTCTATGCCTTCAGCTCCTCCTTCTCCCCTTTACAGAGTTGTCCAGAGTGATGTCAGGACGGATAGTCTTTTGAGTTATTGTGGTCTGAATGCAATAATTCCTGAACTTTGTCTTCAGTCTGTGTTGCTTGTTTTTTCTGCTTGACCTGTTTATATATATTGAATTTTCATGCATTTCATATGATCCGTCTTAATCATATTTGGATCCCCTCCTCTATCTGCACCTCCTGTACTCCCCCACTGAATTTCACGCCTTCTATCATATATTTTAAGACGCATTGAGCCAAATGTGTGTCTGTAGATGTTCCTCAGTGTGAGTTCATCCGCCTAAGCCTGGTCATCCTATCCAGGGTCACTCTGTTAAAGAAAACCTCTCCCTCACCCAGCAGTGATCAGCTGCCAATAATTCCTCAGCTAAAGTTGAGGCCTCCTGCACTTCTCCTCATTTCTACACTGGGTTCTTGGCTGGTTTGAGTTTGCATGTGTCTAGCGCACGTTGTTAGCACTGCCTCCAGGACATATGAGTGAGTTCCTGGAGGCCTGGAAATGTCCATTTCCTTGTGGTCATCCACTCCCTCTGGCTCTTACAGTCTTTCTGACCCCTCTTCCACAATGGTCCCTTAGCCCTGGGTGAGTGAGGTTTAGTGTAGAAGCCCTATCCAGCGATACACGGTCTGCAGTCTCTTATTCTCAACAAAGGATGACTGACCTGGATTCTTGATGCTTTCCATTGTGGTTTTTATTTGATTATTATTTCTTCTTTGCCAAGATTTCCATTTGGCTTTCTCCTGACCCCAGAATCTCAATTTCTTTGCTGAATTTCTCATTGAAGTTGCTGATTTTTCATCATGATTCTTCTTACATTGGTATTTAGATCTAGTTAAGATTGCTACATTGAGTTAGATGAAGGGTTGTTCTTTGTGGTAAATGCTTAAGAATCATCTAGAGGAAGGTATAGAGCCTTGTTTGTGAAGGAAAATACTTGGAACTGCCAAAGGAATGTGAATATGGGGAACGGGAAGAGGCACATAATTCTGGGGTGCTGGTTCTAGAGCCATTGGAATATTGCCAGAAGGCTTTGTGATTGTCACAGAATACAATTTGATGTTATTTAGATCCCATCCTCTGTCCATATCTCCTCCCTCTGCTCCCCCATCCGATTTGATGTGTTCTTTTCTATATCTGATATGGCCCACAGAGTTTGATTTGTGTCTCCAAATGTCCTCCCGTGTGGCTCCATCCACTGGGTCCACAGAGTCCCATCCTGTAAGGCACTGGCCCTCCACATTCCAGTAGTCATTCATTGCCAAAGGTTCCTTAGGTTGGGTTGGGATTTCGTACTCGCTTTCCCATGTCAATGTTGGGATTTGGTCTGGTTTGAGCTTGCATAGGACTTGTGTATGCTGTCATTTTATAGCTTTTTTTAAATATTTTTTTTGATGTTTTAGTCTAAGAAAAGAAATATTCAATTTTCAGGATTATCTCTTTAACTCATATATTATACTAGGCTAAGATAAAAAGTAAACATTATCTAGCTTATAATTTCTTCATTTAAAAATCAGTAGAAATTTTCAAAATTATCCTAGGTATGTGATTCACTTGGCACATGCCGCTGTGAAGCTGGCTACGAACCTCCAACGTGCAGCAGAAAATCAAGATCATCTGCATTGGCTGATCAAAATGGTAAGTATTTCATGTCACTGAATTTTGGGTGCTCACTTACAGGACTATAATGCGATTTTACTGTAATTGCTGTATCATGTAGAATACTTTGGAAATCTCTGAAATTTTTTTCCATGTAGTTGAAAGAAAGATTTTAGATGTAGTTTCAAATACTATGAATTAGTATTTCTATAATTAGTTTTACATGTTGTTTGAATAGTAACAAAGGTGAAAACTATTTTATTGAATTTGTTGTTAACTTGGAAATAAATTCGTTTAATTTCCAGTGTACCTTTTATTTTTAGATTTGACAATGCAAAGAGCTTCTAGGAAGGCTGAAAAGAAGTGGCTGCCAGGTCTGTACATTGCTTTATCTGTGCTCATCGCAGCAACCTTAGTAGTCGTGGCGTGGAGCAGCTTGAAATCGTGGCTTCCCCAGGAAGAGGGATCCCTGAGGAGCAAGTAAGTTGAAGTTATGCTCTGAAGTTACACTTTGGTAGCATTTTAATCTGGGTAACGAGAAAAGTCTTGCTGTGTTCATGGCTCGGACTTTGGGTGCCACGTCAGCCTTTCATTTAATTGTACAAGGCCTTTGTAAAAATCCAAATCAGTGAATTACTTTGCAAAGATGCTCTGATTTGTGAGTGTAGCCAGAGTCTTTGCTCTATTAGTCAAAGGCAAGGCGGAAGAAGTCAAGCGTAGGGGCATGTATTGCTTTTATTTCTGTTTCCAGTTTTAGTTTTAGATTTTAGGTTTTTGAGGCAGGGTCTCACTCTTGAATGCCCAGAAACCTTCGTCCCTTAGCTGAGTTTATCGAAATGCAATCTGTGTCATCTATAGGAGTTTCAGAAGAGGTTATTAAGGATTCAGACATCTGAAACCTACCACAGAGTAAATATTTCAATTTATCTACTGCCTAAATAAAATATTTTCTGGATAGTTATTTTTAAAAGGCAGGATCTCATGATGTGGCTGGGACTGGTCTTGAACTTGGTGTGTAGTCAAGTATGACCTTGAACTTCTGATCCTCTTTTCCTTTCAAGTCCAGGCATTATAGGTATGTGCCACTATGCCTGGTTTTTGGATAAAAATTTTACAAGGCAGGTTTATGATTTTGCCTAAGATATATTTTTTATTTTTTATAAGCTATATATTTTGTTGAAAATTTGGGCATTTCATACAACACATCTTAATCATATTTAGAGCCCCCCGCCCCCGTATCTGTACTTCTCTCCCTATCGCCCTCCACCAGACTCCACGTATTTTCTCATATATGTTAAGGCCTATTGAGTCCCCTATTGTGTCCCCAGATGTCCCTCAGTGTGAGTTCATCCACTGGAGCCTTGTCAGCCTATTTAGTATCACTCCCTTAAAGGATACAAACTCTCACTCACCGAACAGTGACCAACCATCAGTAGTTCCTCGGCTATGGTTGGGGCTTCCTGCCCATTTCTGCAGTTCTATGCTAGGTTTTTCATAGTTTGAGTTTGCATGGATCTTGTGCATGCTGTCACCATTGCTGTAAGTTCATACGAGTGCCTTCCCAGAAGCCTGGAAGACTAATTTTAATTTACTTTATGTGTGGGTGTTTTGTCTACATGTATGTAAGTGCACCTATGCATGTAATGCCGGCAGAGGTCAGAAGAGGGCATTAGATCCCCTGTATCAGGAGTATCAAGGTTGGGTTGTCAGGGCCATGAGGTGCTGGGAACTGAAGTGGTCCTGTGCAAGAACAGCCAGAGCTCTTAACCTCTGAGCCGTCTCTCCTGCCCTGTTTTTCTTATTTAATGAATTCTGTTTCTTTTAAAAGATCTTTGGAAATACTAAATAGTCTTCTAGTTTTTCACTTTTGTTCTGGCTTGTAATATTGCATCTCCATGCTAGGATTAAGGGTGCTGGATTAATGGCCTGCAGCACCACTCCAAGTTCATGATTATTCCTTGATGTGCCCCAAGCCGGTTTAAGAGGTGCGGCTTCCCGGGCTTCCGAGGAGCTGGCCTGCTGCGCTCCTCCCAGACGCTTCTGGCTCTCACTAACCCTCCTTGTCAGGGGAGGGGGCTCCTGGCCCTAGAGCCATGATGATAAGTCCCGGCCACTAAGAGAACTCTGCTTCCGACAAGCCCAGGCTCGTGATATATGGGGCAGTGAGGGAAAGCAGTGATGTTAAATGACTTCAGCCACGTGCCAAGTAGACACGTTAGGTGCTGGCATTGATGCACAGTGTATGGTGGCTCATCGGGAAGCCCCACAGGTGCGGACAGCCCCACAGCGCCTTATTTTTTGAGGCACGGTCTCTCACTGAATAGGGAACTTGCCGATTCAGCTAGACTGCCCAGCCTCAGCTGGACTGCCATGCCAACAAGCCCCTGGCATCCTCCTGGATCTTCCTGCCTCCACAATGGGATGGCAGGCATGCCTGGCTTTTTATGTGGGTGCTAGGGATTTGAACTCAGGTGCTCATGTTTTCATGACAGTCACTTTACAACTAAGCCAGCTCCCCAGCCCGTGTTGTCACTGTTTTATACTAAATGAATACTTGGAAGGATTTAAAGCGATTTAACAAGTGGGTCACAGTTCATCTTTTTATATAAATCTATTGAATTCATTCTTTGACAAGTTCATACATGTATAAAGTATACTGTGGATAACTGTCACCCCATCTTCTCTGATTTCTCTTCTACTTCTATTGGCTGCTCTTCATGTCATTCGTTTGTTTTGAGTTTAACCAGGAGGCTGTGTGTGGCCATGGGTTTCCAATTCCTTCTCAGAGCCGGGATGGCTCCTCTGGCTGTACCACTGAAGACAGTGGCTGCCCCTTCCCCAGAATTTGTCAGTAGCCAATAGTTCAGCAGGGAGGGATAGGGCCCCATGAGCCCCTCTGCAGACCCTGGTTGACTGCTGATAGGCCCAGCCTCCAGTAGGCCCATTGCAGGAAGTCTCCGTGAGGACCTGGCGGCCCTGGCTGTGCCATGACCATCAGACAGCATTCCATACCCCCTCTCGCTGTCTTCCTGCTCCTCCATTCTTTCCGTGCTGTCTTCTGTAAGGATCCCGAGACTAGACGAGGTTGTGAATGTCTTTTTTAGGCTGTCACTTATTCTCAGCTCTCAGGTTTGGACTAGAGTGCTGTTTTCTCCTGAATTTTGGTATGTGTGGAATCAGATGGAGGAGTTTTCCTGCCTGGTCAATCTGCCAGATTTCCCTGATGTAGATGTGAGTTTAGTTTACGTCATGGAGCAATTCGTATATCAAACCAATGAAAAGGTATCCTAGAGTCAGAGGGTGGAGTTTAGCAGTACAGGGCCAAGTTTATATTCTGTGCTTAGAAAGTATAAGGAAGAAAATATCTCTGCTGCGTTGACCCTCTGTACACTCGTGCCATCTGTGGCCTTTGTGTTCATCGCCCTCTGTTGCATGAGGAAGCTTTGCTGATGGGAATTCAGAGATGTCTTAGTAGTCTCTCTAACCCGTCTTCCACTATGTTCTGGGAGCCTTAGGCCTAGAGGTTCCATTGTAGGTGTGTAGTCAGTTTGGGATATGCATTTCATAGACACTTATTCTCTGTGTGTGACCAGTTGTGGAACTCTCTGGTAATCTCCATCCATTGCAAAAGAAGCTTCTTTGATGAATAGTGACTGGGTCCCTGTGCAGGACACATATTAAACTTCACCCACCCAGGCCTCAGGGACCATTGCAGAAAAAGGTGTGGAAAGGTTGAAAGAGCTGTGGAGGGGGTGGATGAACATAAGGAAACAGAGTCTTACAGGCTCCTGGGACCCTGCTCATATGGATCTACAGCAATGGTATCAGATGGTACCAGATGGTACAAGTCCCATGCAAACTCAATTTGACAAAAACCCAGCATAGAACTGGGGAAATGGTCAGCAGGCCCCATCCCTAGCCTAAGAACTATTGGCAACTGATCATTGTGGGTGAGGGAGAGTTGTCTTATTCTTTAAGAGAGAGACTCTAGATTAGTGACCTGACCTTAGTGCATGATCTTGCACTTCAGGATATCTGGGTAAAATAACTTCACTCGATAGGTCTTAATATATAGGATGCAATGCATGAAATTTAGTGGGAGGGCTATAGGAGGCTAAGTATGGGGGAGGGATATAAAGATGAGTTAGCTGTTTTATATGAAGTGCACAAAGTTTCAATAAAAAGTATAAAAGAAGAATGCAGCTTACTCACATGCCTGAAGTGTTGGCATTCATTTGGGCATAATGTGATCTGTTCTCAGAATCAATGGACTTTTTAACTCTGTGTGTTATCTTCATTTTAATTTAGTTCCACATCAGAAGATAGTATTCAACAACACACCAGCAGGTAAGCATCTAGGATGTATTTCTTATGAGTAAATATGTTAGAAACTAGGAATAAGAAAGTGATAGTTTATAAATAATTGCCTCATATGTTTGTGAGCAGCTACAGTTGATAAAATACTACATCAAAGTCAGTATTAATATTTCTCATTCTAGAAACAAGTATTTCTTGATAGTTTCATTGATTACTCACTCTTGTGATATGGAAGGAAATGCTAGTGGAATGTAACTGGGCAAATACTTACAATTAGTTGGGAAAACTGATTATTTTTGAAGCTGGGATGCATACAGGCAAATCTCACTTCTTTGGAATGTATTTATATTGAGTATTTACTAACCCAATATAAACAATGGAAAGAATAAGTGTGAGTATGATATGCTCTCACAATTAAACACCACTTGTTCCAGAATCTCCTCTTTACAGGTTAAGTTTCTTAGGCTACACCACCAAAAATATCGTTTGTACCCTTCCTGAAGGAAGTCATCAGGAAGCCCCAACTCCGCAGCATTGTCTGTTCTCTTGTCTCCTGTTGTTCCTTTACCACTTTAGTTACTTCCTTCAGGCTGAGTGATAAAGAGCTCCGTTTTCTTTACTGTCTCCAGTCTGTGACACTGTCCTCCAGGGAACGGTGTTGAGTGCCCACACTCTGGAATCCTCCTAGAACCATGACCCTCCTTTATAGACTGATGTTGCTGGAGGACCATGGCCATGTCTGTTCTGCTCACTGCTAATTTATAGGTAGCACCATGTAGAGCAAGTACCCAATAAACATTAATGAATGATTACTCTTGAATAGCATTTCACATATGGACATGTAATTAGTATCGTGACTATTCCAGTTGTTTCCTTTACCTCTTCTCTCATGATAGAATTTACAATTCTCATGATCATCTAGAAATGAAGTTCAAGAAGATTCATGTGTAGGAAAACCTGTCATCCATAGGACAATACTTACTGTTCCGAAGAGCGGAACCTCGGATGGCACTCTACTAACCTAGCTTGTGTTTAGCACATGCCAGAAAAGCATTCTTTAATTGTTCTTTCATTTAAACTTAATGCACTCAGCAGGTATAGACGGAGTTGCTATACCACAGCAGTTATTGCATTGTTTGTATTTCTCTTCTTTTGCATTTAAGTTTGAAAGGTTTTTTTCCCCTTTGGAAAACCCAGTGAGAGATGTGGGCAGAAATGTCTGACTCCTTACTTAAATGCATTGTAGCAAGGATTTCTTCTTTCTTCGTGTGTGTGCATGACTGTGTGTGTGCCTGTGGAGTCAGAGGTCCATGTCCATGGCCATCTTCTATCATTCTTCGTCTTGAGACAGCATCTTTACTGAACCTGGAGCTCACCATTTGGTGGGACTTGCTGGCCAGAGGGCCCCAGGAATTTTCCTGTCTCTGCCTTCTGTAGGGGGTTACTGGATGCGTGCAGCAGTGTCCAGTTTTTATGTGGGAGCTGGAAAGCTAAACTCAGGTCCTTATGCTTGAACAGCAACACTTTACTTATTGAACCGTCTTCCCAGAACCACGGATTCCTGTTTGATTTTTCATTTTTTTATTGAGTTATTTAAAACTTCATACAATGTGCTTTGATTGTATTTAGATCTCCTCTCCTGTCAGCACTCCCATTACTAGCCCCTCCCAATTTCACGTACTCTTTTTTTTTATATATATGCCTATGGAGTCATATTTGTGTGCACAAATACCTTTTAGTGTGGCTCCATCCTGGTTAACTTTGAAAGGGGTTAACTCTCCCTGTCCTAGTTTGTTTCTTCTTTGCTGTGACAAAATACTCTGACCAATACCAACTTGGGGAGGAAAGGG